AAAAAATCCAGAGACTCTGAGAAGTTAGAACATTCTAGACTTATGGCAAGTAAAGGAAAGGAACTGTCTGTAAGGAAAGTATCTATGTATAGTTGAATTCACTATCAACGATTAGTGTTATGAAAAAAGGGACTCTCTTGAAATTGATTGACTGTGGCTTTGAATGGGACACTGGCATGTAACTTCTGTACTCTATCAAGGACACAGTCCAATATTGGTCAACACACACACACACACACACACACACACACACACGTGTGCACCTGCAGCCACATGTTATGTATACATGTGCACACAAACGCACACACATGTAAATGCAAAGGAGCCACTCACAATTCTACGTGTACTGACTAGTCACCAGGTGACCACCAGGTAGTGTCATTGATAATACTGGCATTTTATTTACTATGAAAAGGAGCTGTCACACTTGTAGAAATGCTTGTGATAATTTGAGAGCTAATGTAACTTGTGTATAACAGGAATGGTATAGAGGCTGATCTGGACTCGAATTGTGGATTTGTCTCTTTAATAGCCATGTGAGCACTTAACCTCTTTGAGCTTATTTATCTTTATTTATTTTTGGTTTTAGGCTTTAGATTTATTTATTTATGTATTTATGTTCATTTATTTATTTATTTTTTGAGACAGGATCACCCTGTAGTCACAGCTGCTCTAGAACACACCATATAGACAAGTCTAGTCTCTGATCTCACAGAGATCTACCTGCCTCTGCCTCCCCAGTGCTGGGATTAAAGGCTTGTACCACCATGTCTCACTGTTTCTCCATCTTTAAAATGCAGTTAACAGGGGCTGGAGAGATGCTTAGTGGTTAAGGGCACTAGGTGTTCTTGCAGACAACCCAGGTTCAATTCCCAGCACCCACACGGCAGCTAACAACCATCCATAACTCTAGTTCCAGGGGAATCTGACACCCTCTTCTGACCTCTGCAGGCATTGCATGACATGAGTGCACTTGCATACATGCAGGCAATACATTTATACACATAAAATAAAAAATAGTAAAATTAAAAATAAATAAAATGCAATTAATGGAGCTCCCCTTCTGTAACTGTAAAGATTAAATGAGATGATATAGTACGAGCCACTATCTGAGGACCTGTTTATTAGCACCTATCAGGTCACCTAGAAACGAAAAGCGTTTTTTGAACACTTCTATGTTGTATTGTATTTCTAATTTGGACAAAGTAATTTTAAACTTCATTCTTATTGTTTTTGAAAAGGTTACCAGGGGCACTCACTTCCTATGCAAGCGACCGCTGGCCATTCAGTCCTCACAGGAGGCTCTCCCAGAGTCTCTGTGCCCACTTCCAGATGTCATGCTGTGTTGCTTGAAGGCAGGGGGAGGTAGAATTTGTCCCCAAGGAAGCTCTGGAATATGCATAGCTGGTGGCCAGGAGGTGCCCGAGAAATCTGTTTTTAGAATGTCTTTGAAAAATAGGTTAAATATGAAATAATGATGCACCTGACATTTGCAGTGTGTCTTGCCATCAATAGCTTCATTTTATTCATTTATTCAACAAATATTTATTGTATGCTATATGCCATTTCTTGGGTTTCAATGAGAAAGAAAATGAATTAAGTCCTACTTCATGGAGTTTAGGTTCTGTGGGGAGAGTCCAGAGGGAATAGGTGCTTCTTAGACACTCAAAGCAAAGAGTAAGTAATGTTGTTGAGGCCAGAAAGTTGAAGAAAGCTCTGAGAACAGTCCAGTCAGCTAGCCGGTACTCCCGAGCTTAGGATCAGGCAGCATGCTAGCCGGAACAAAGAAAAGGTAGCAAGGAGGCAGCAATTCTTCTTTGGGGAGGTTTTCAGTTCAGAGAATAGAAAAGATGACTGCTTGCACAGCAATGGAGAATAATATAGAAAGTGCTGGATTCCATGGTAAGGGCTCTTTAAGGTCTTGATAGAGACAGGCAACAGATTGAATAGTTCTTTAGTTTTAATGTTTTTTTTTTTTTTTTACAATATGTATTTTTAATTGAATTTTTGTGCATTTCATATAATACATCTTAATCATCTTTAGATTCCCCTTCCCTATCTGCACCTGCCCCATAGCTCCCCCACCCCAGGATTTCATACTGACTGCTTGTATTAGTTTTTTTTTTTCTCTTGCTGTGATAAAAGACTGACCAAAGCAACTTACAGAAGAAGATTTTATTTGGCTTATGACTCCAGAGGGTTAGAGTCCATAGTGGTAGCGGAAGCATAACCAGAGCAGAAAGCCAAGCGATCATGTCATCAAGCAGGCACAAAAAGCAGAGAGAGATAGAAAGACTCTTAATACGCACCCCCAGTGATGTCCTTCCTTCCTTTGGCATGGTCACACCTCCTAAAGCTTCCCAAAATAGCACCACCAGCTAGAAACAAACTGTCCGAATACTTGGAGCCCATGGGGAACATTCTCATTCAAACCACATTCCACTCCCTGACTCATGATCATATAAAATGTAAAATACATTTAGTCCACTTTCGAAAGTCCCCATAGTCTTTATCAGTTTCAATACTATTCAGAAGCCCAGTGTTCCAAGTCTCTTCTGAGACTCAAGACAATCTCTTGACTGTAAGCCCCTGTAAAATCAAAAGACAAATTACACACTTCCAAAATATAATGGGACAGAATACACATTCCTGTTCTCAAAGGGAGGAGGAATGGGGGCATAATGAGGAAATACTGAACCAAAACAAGACCCAAAACCAGCAGGCAAACACCAAATCTAGTATCTCCATGTCCTACTTATAGGACTTTGCTTCCAAAGGGCTTAGGTGGCTCAGCCCCTCCAGCTTTGCTGAATGCACTGTACATCTCTCTCTTGGAGTGGCACCACTCTTTGTATATAGCTCTCCTTGGCAGATGTCTCATGGCTCTATTATTTTTAACATCTTCTTGGGGTCTCCACTGCCAACCAGGCTTCACAGTCATAGCTTCACACAATGGCCTGTCACAGCCTCTTGGCCTGTGAGGGCCTTCTTTACGCAGGCACTCTGATGTTACATGTTGTCTGGCCTCTGTAGCTCTCTGAAACGATAGAGGAAGAAATGATGACCCATTCACTCTTGCATCTTTTGTGGCTCTAAAGCCAGTACAATGTGAATGACTGCCAAGTTTGGTTGCTAGTTTGGGATGAGCCCTGACTGCTTCATAAACAGCTTTTGTGGGTTGTAGTTTTCTAGAAGAAAACTCCTTAGGTGTTTTCCTTTCACAAGTTGGAGCCTTAGCAGGGTATGGTTTTTGCCCTAAGGGTGCTCTTTCCATTTTTTAAATGAAAATCTTGATGCCTCTCCTTAAAAACTTTAGTCTCCTTATCAAAGAGAGCCTCTCCAGCACATAGCTTTGCTCCAACATTAAACTTCATAGTGCTCTTTTCCTCTATAAACTGTATATTCTGCATCTCTTTCTGCCTCATTTGTTCTTTTTCATTGTAGCTCTCCATAGTATTGAGCATTAATAACCACTCCACTGATTCTATGTTAGGCTGTCTTGAAATTTCCTAGCCAAAGAAATTAGCCCATTGCTTTTCAACTGAGAGTCAAGCAAGATCTTAGGCTGAGGGAATACAGTAGACAGATCCTTTGCCAAAACATCCCAGTTACTATTTAAGTCCTTATTTCCCTCTGGAACTACTTTTCTCTCAGCACTACTTTCTTAGAGGCTCCTACTAAAATGACCTATTAAGCTCTGCTCACAGCATTCAATCACTTTTCTATTCCAGACTTCCAAAGTCTTCTACATTCCCCCAAAACCTCACATGGTCATATTCTTCACAACACCCCACTCTTGGTACCAACTTCCTCTTTAGTTACTTTTCTGTTGCTGTGATAAAACACTGACTGAAGCAACTTATATAAGGAAGAAGAATTTATTTGGCTTATGATTCTAGAGGGTTAGAGTCTGTTAATGGTGGGGAAGGCATGGTGGCAGAGGTGGCTAGAACAGACAGCCAAGCAATCACATCTTCAAGCAGGCAAAAGAGAGAGAGAGAGAGAGAGAGAGAGAGAGAGAGAGAGAGAGAATCTGGCAAGACATAAGAATTCTGAAGGCCTGCTCCCAGTGATGTGCTTCTGACGTGGCAATACCTCCTAAAGGCAAAACAACACCACCAACTGGAGATAAACTGTCCAAATACTTGGAACCTATGGGGCACATTCTCATTCCAACCACCTCACTGCTCCAGCAGATTGAACAGTTCTAATGTATCTGCTGGTTCCGTGGGGAACCAAGTAGATGGTTACCTGTAAAGTGGAAGGCTGGGTGTGGTGGCACAGGCCTGTAATCACAGAAGTTTGGGAAGTGCTAATTTCTTTGGCTAGGAAATTTCAAGACAGCCTAACATAGAATCAGTGGTGTGGTTATTAATGGTGACTATTATGGAGATCTACAGTGAAAAAGAACAAATGAGACAGAAAGAAATGCAGAATGTACAGTTTGGGAGGAAGATCGAGAGTTCAAGATTATCCTCAGCTATATAGTAAGTCTGAGATCAGCCTGTACTGACATGTCAACCTGTCCCCTGCCCCCCAAAAAGCCAGAAAAAAGGTAGAAACATGTAGGATAGAAGGGTTAGAGGTAAGATGGATTTTTATCAGGTCTGTGAAAGGTATATGGAATGTAAGCCAACCCATAAGATGGAGCAGCAGAGGAAGAGGTAGAGGATGTGGTTTCCTGTGGATGGTAGAAAAGAGCCCTGTGATGCATATTTCTGGCATGTATCCTCTGACTGGATCATCACTGTGCTTAGAGACATCTACCATGCCTTGTTGTGGTTTTATCTTACAGTGTGGCCCACCTGGAGTCTATCAACCAGGCCAGATAACAGATCGAGCTGTTCTCAATATATATGGTGGCTTATCAGGGTGGCGAGCAAATGGCTATCTGTTGGATAAATACCGGGTGAGGACCATCATGTTTTATTACTGCTTACAATGTAACTTCCAGAAACCTGAACACTGGAGTAAACTTCATATTCTTCTTTGTGATATAGAGAATGAAATCAAGAAATACATAAATATGTGCATTCTGTTGCATTTACAAATAATAAACATATTTAACTATATAGAAAAAATGCATTGCATTGCTATGTGCAAGAGCTACAGTATTAAAATAATGGTTAGATGGGCTGAGGAGGTGGCTTAGTGCATAATGTGCTTGCCATACAAGTGTGAAGATCTGAGTTTGACTCTCTAGAACTCACATAAATCCAGACATGGTAACATGCATCTGTAATCTCAGTGCTCTGTGCTGAGATAGCAAGCAGAGGCAGAAGAATACCCAGCAACTCATAGGCCATTGTCCTAGTTAGCTTTCTCTTGATGTGATAAAAATATGACAAAAGACAACTCTTGGAAGAGTTTATTTCTTTTTACAGGTTACAGTCCATCATGGAGGGAAGCCAGGGCAGGAGCTCAAGCAGAAACCTAGAGGCAGGAACTGAAGCGGAGACCATGAAGGAACAGTGCTTGTTGACTTGCTCCCAGACTCACCTTCATCTGCTGTGCTGATTAGTATTAGTCAACTTAACACAAACTAGAGTCACCTGACAAGAGGGAACGCAAACTGAAGAATTACCAAGATCATAGTGGCCTGTGGCCATGCCTGTGAGGCATTTTTTAAATTGCTAGTTGATGTGTGAGGGCATAGCCTACTGTACATAGTACCATCCCTAGGGCAGGTGGGTAAGAAGCTGTGTAAGAAAGGTAGCAAGCAAGCCAATAATGAGTGTTCTTCCCTGGTCTCTGCTTCAGGTTCTGCTTCCAAAGCTCCTGCCTTGAGTTCCTGCATTAGCTTCTGTGTTAGCCAAATAAACCTTTTCCTCTCCCAAGCTGGTTTTGGTCAGTGTTTTATCACAACAAAAAACAAACTAGAACAACTACCTTTCTTATATAGCCTAAGCCCATTTGACTAGGGATGACACTGCCCACAGTGCACTGGGTCCCCCTACATCAATTAGCAGTTAGGAAAATGCCCCACAGACATGCTCACAGGGCAATCTGATGGAGGAAATTCCTCGATTGGTGTATCAAATTGACCAAAGCATGGTTAGTCATCAAAGCCACCTAGTCTAGTGTTCACAGTGGCTAATGACAAAGAAACTCCGTCTCAGACAAGGTGGAAGGCAAGAACCAATACACCTGATTGCCATACCCACGCCATGGCATGGTTCCATACCCATCTGATTGCCATACCCACACCATGGCATGGTTCCATACCCATCTGATTGCCATACCCATACCATGGCATGGTTCCATACCCATCTGATTGCCATACCCACGCCATGGCATGGTTGCATCCACTTCACATGAATCACACATATGAGCATATACGTGCAAATACACATACACAAAAAAGAAAAAATAATAATGCTTGGAGTTGATTTTATTTTAAAATTTAGTTATAAATCCTATAGTTAAAGATTGTTAAAAATTTCTTTTTTCCTTGGGAAATGACACCTAGTTCTCTGGACAATCCATGGTGCCAATGCTATGCTTGTCTGTTTTTGTCAGCTAGGAAAAGTGAAACGAGTTTTACACTGACCGTGACCTGTCCGCAGGAGCCACCCTCAATGTGTGGGGAAGGAAAGTCCTCCTCTGTGACTGTGATGAATTTACCAAGAATTATTATAAGACAAAATATAGAATTGGTAAGTGATATTTATGCCAATTAGAAAATATTTTTCAAACTTTGGCTGTTCATACCCTAGTTAAGATTTTCCTTCTGAGTGTCAAATGTTAGACTCATAATTGCTAACATTTATTGTGCATTTGTTGTCTTCAAGGCATTTTTCCTCTTATGTATCCGTAACAACCGTCCTCTACAAGTAGGCTCATTATCCCCATTTTAGAGGTGAAGAAACAAAGGCCCTTAAAGCACATTTGTCCAAGGTCATGCAGCAAAGAAAGAGCCAAGAAATGAAGTTGTCTGCTCCTGCCAGGGGCTTCCATTTTCCCCAATAATTCTCTGCTTCACTACAGTAGACAGTATTTTGGTAGGACAATTATACCGGAAATTTTAAATCCTTTCTCTCCATTTAACTCTTGCTTACCACACAGGGCAAGGCTCATTTGCGTTCTCTGAGGAAATCTCTTGTCCCATTTGTTCTTCCGTTCCTGGTGAGGTTCAGCCAGGTTTCCTGCTTCTCTTTTCATAGATTCCAGTTCCACTGCAGTCAAGTAAGTTCAGTTCAGTTCCATTCAGAATAAAAGCCAGTGATTTATTAAGTACCTACTATACATATGTCAGCACAGTAGGCTTAGGTGATGCAAAGTTATAGAAGAGGTTTATGGACTAGAAGACAGGAGCTGGTCCACTGTAGCACAATGCACAATATTATGAGAGTCTAGAAGTTGGCAAAGGATGGGTTATAAAATCTAAAATCCAAACTTTCATTTGGTAAACTTCCACTCTCAGTCTTCTGGAGTTCTGCCCTCTAGCTCTACACACATCAGAGTTCACCTATCTGCTACTGCTGCAATTGGTAGGATCTGTTGAACTACCAGGGGAGGGTTTGGAACTGGGGCGAGGGTGCCTAGTCTGGTTCTATCCCCTGTTCCATACCCAAATCTAAGGGTTGTCCAAGACTCTTACATGAAATGGTGTAATATTTGTAAAGAACCTATGCATATCCTGTATACTCATTTTATTTATTTATTTATTTATTTATTTATTTATTTAAATTGAGACAAGATCTCACCAAACGCAAAACAAAATCACAGTTAGGGACTGGCAAGATGGCTCAGCAGGTAAAGGCACTTGCCACTAAGTCAGACAAGCTGAGTTTGATCCTTGGGACCTACATGGGAGAAGGAGCGAAATGATTCCTGCAAACTGTCCTCTGACCTCCACACATGTGCTGGTGCACGTGCACACACACAGGCACATAATTTTTAATATATAATTTTTTTATGTGTATATTTCCTGCATGTAGGTAGGTGCACTCATGTTGCACAATGCCTGTGGAGGTCGGGGGAGCGTTGGATTCCCCTGGAACAGGAGTTATAGTTTTTTTTTTTTTGGTGTTTTTTGAGGCAGGGTCTCCCTGTAGACCCAGCTGTCCTGGATTCACCATGGAGACCAGGCTGGCCTTGAACTCTTTTTTGAGACAGGGTCTCACTATGTAGCCCTGGCTGTCCTGGAGCTCACTATGTAGATCAGGGTGACCTCAAACAGAGTTCTACCTGCCTTTACCTCCCAAGTGCCGGGATTAAAGATATGCACCACCATGCCCAACCTTCCTAGGAATCTTTTTACTCTGAGAGATGCTGCACTAGAACACACAAAGGCATTAGAATGAAAAGGGCTTTCGGTTTCACTTCCAGGCTCATTAAGGAAATTTGTTCTACCACATCTGCATGCCAGATTAGTGAAAATGTCTGGGTCCTGCAAAGGCCAACTTGGTGGCCTCTTCTTGTTTGAATTTCTAAACTTAGTTCTCTTCAGTGAACTCAGTTGAACATATTTACTTTGGTGACTGTAGACAAGAGTCACCCAGGGGTGTGTGGATGGCACCTGCCCTAGAGAACCTTCTAGTGGCTGGAAGAATTTCCCTCTAATAAGCATAAATTTCTGATTAGAATCAGTAAGTCTTCAATGAAGACTGAAAATTTATCAATGACTCACTAACACCCTAACTTATACCTGAAGATTACTTTCATCTAAACGATATCAATGAAAGATTGACAGATTATCTTAATGATTCCAAAACATGGAATGATTCCTTAAATAGAGAGTCCAACATTTGACTAATGTTTGTGAGCTTGATTTTGAGAATATTTGTTTAGGGCAAACAAATGTTGCACAAAAGGGACTGGGACAATTGTCCATATCGTAGCAGTTTTTCTGAGGCAGCGCGAATTCCCCGATGTACTCCAAATCTAGCTGTCCTGGGTAAGTGTACCAACTTTAAATGCCCTGTAATCTGTTCTGGTTGAGTCTGTCCCAGTGCTTAATTTCTTTCTGTCCACTTCTTTTGTTCCCTCTATAGACTTTACTATATTACATCTAAAGCATGCTTTGTATCTTTAAAGTTAACATAACATGAACATATGCATTTAAGAGAAAATATATGCAAATATAAAATTATGATGCATTTCATAGTCACACTGACTTTTTAATATGTCTCAAAACATGCATATTTAACAAGCACTATTATACAACATTTTTGAGTTTTAATGGCATATTTAATGTTATAAATGACTATGATTACTGTGGTGGAATGGGGGCAGTGGATTGATAGTCTCTAATATTCACATTTACATTTTTGATGTCTTTGTAAAGTTCAGTCTATATTAGTTAAATGGATTTATTTCTGGCATTAAAAAATGTGAATCAGTGATCTTTATTTTTCTTCATTAGTGGCTATGACATGTTGATAAAAATATAAGTAAGAAAAAGTTATACTGTAACATTTGATATAAACATTAAATAGCAATTTTGATGAAGACTCTGTTCAGTATTAATATGATAGTAAGGGGGATAATTTTGTTTATAATTCATGTGACTTAAACCTTTATTTAAGACAGGAGGCTGGAGAGATTGCTCAGTGGCTAAGAGCACATACTGTTCCCACAGAGGACCAGAGTTTGATTCTCGGGATCCATGTTGGGTGGCCCACAACTGCCTGTAACTCCAGCGCCAGGGGCTCCTTTGGCTTCCAGGGGAACTACACTCACATGCACATACCCATACATGGACACATGCACACATACAAATAATTATTTTTAAATCAGTTTTTTCTTTTTTTAATTTTATTTTTGTGATTTTTCATCCAGTATAATTTGATGGTATTTAGATCCCCTAACCTCACCTCCCCTATTTCTGAATCTTTTAAAGAATGTATAAGACAGAATTTTATACATTATATTTTGGTATCTTTAAAGTCCAAACCAGAATAAAGTGTCATCAGTAATTGTGACCTTGTTAGTAACTGTGCTCACGTTGACTCCTTTGTCAGTTAACGTGATCAGTAGAATATCTGGGCATCTCCATTATGTAGCAGGAAGGAGGTGACAAGTGCCAACATCACAGCAGGAAACTGGGGACAGATCTCTCTCTCTCTCTCTCTCTCTCTCTCTCTCTCTCTCTCTCTCTCTGTGTGTGTGTGTGTGTGTGTATTCATGTGGGTAGATGTATGCGTATGTATATGTGGAGGTAAGAGGTCAATGTTGGATGTCTTTCTCAATGGTTTTTCACTTTAATTTTTGAGACAGAGACTCTTACTGAACCTGGAGCTCATCAATTCTAGATTGACTGGCCAGTGATACCCAGCTTTTACGTGGGTGCTGGGGATTGAACTTAGGTCTTCACATTTGTGCAGCAAGCACTTTCTCAACTGAGCCATCTCCTTAGTCAAATGCATTTATTTAGCCTTGGTACTTTAGAACCTTATCCTATCTAGTGGCATCCCAACTTATATTAGAGGAGAAAGAAATGGCACACAAAGACAAGGAATTGGCCTCAGTCCCCAGAAAGGTGCATGGGTAACTTTTCTATTCCTGCAGAAGCACAGGGCTTGATAGAATTCTGAGAGACAAGTGAGCCCCTGTATGAGAGTCAGTCTTGTAGAAAGATGATTCTTTCATGTGTTTCAGGATTTCAAGGAAAAGTCAATTCCGTAGATGTCTTGTGTAGTGTGACCCCTGAATTAAGCAGTGTGACCATCCTGCTAGTGGTGAGTTAATTGCCAGACTGCAGTAGATCAGTCCTTCGGTATTGATGTGTTTCCCTTTATCCCCCCATCCTTCCTTTCCTTCCCCCCTCCCTTTTCTGCCTCATCACCCTCTCTCTCTCCTTGCTGTGTGTAGCTATAGCTGGCCTGGTGTTCGCTATGTAAGATAGTTTGGTTTTAAGCTCATGGCAATCCTCCTGTCTCAACCTCTCAAGTGCTGGGATATATAGGCATATAACACCATATTCAATTTATAAGAAGACTTTCTGATCATTGATTCTTAGTGATGGGCAAAACTAAATCTGGCTAATCATGGTAGCTCACGCCTTTAATCCCAGTACGCGGGAGTCAGAGGCAGGTAGATAGATGGATCTTTGTGAGTTTGAGGCCATCCTTGTGTACATATTGAGTTCCAGGCCTGCCAGGGCTATATAGTGAGATCCTGTCTCAAAAGCAAAATAAAACAGTCACATGATCATTCATTCCCATTGGGTTTGAATGCTTATTTGGTTATATTGAGAATAAAGTTCAACAAAAGTCTTAAAGCACCTTTCATTTTCTACAGTCATTTCTGACCATCTCTGAACTCTTGGGACTAAGAGGAGACTATCCTAGAGGGAAATTCAGTGATCATTTGAGGAAATTGACCACCACTAATTGTAGCAATAGGGATAGCATTAGTTTATGGTGTTACCACATGGCCTGGATGAACCTAACAATTTTGCCTCTTTCACTCCCCCTATAAAGTGAGGGTGTTTGAGGAGTAGAGGGATCCAAAAACTTATAGTTCTGACATTGTGTGACTCACAAATTATTTGACCTAGGTATTGGATACAAACAGAGATGGATCTAGTTTGAGGTAATGATTTCTTAGTCTTCATGGTTCTTTCTTTAGAGGAATTCCAAGCCAAAGACCTGGCCTAATTTTGTTTTAGTAATCTGGCATTCTTAGTCTTGAAAAGTTTTGTCCAAATTATATAAGCTTCAAGTTTCCTGAAGTCTGGATCTATCGCTGGGTTATTGGATCATAGAAGATGAACTTTGACATGATTGGTAACTTTTCCCAGTAATACTACCACCTGAGATAGTGAATTGAAAAGTCATTGTGAAGGACCATTAGACAACTTTTTATACATAATCTCCTTGCAATTTGTTGGAATCCGGTCAGTCATGGATAGCTATTCAATACGTATATGTGTAGAAGTCATTTGGAATTAGAGGAATCAAAGTATTTGGAATACAGGTATGTTTCAGTGTCTAGCAAAATGTCAGGTATAGAACACATTTGGGAAGATGCTTTTCATATTCCTTTGCATTTACTGAATCAATATTTTTGAACACAAGAAATATGCAGGATGCTGGGATGATGAATACCCAACGATAGTCAACTTGTCATTCATATATGAGTCCACAGCCTTGTGAATGTATGTTAGCTACCCAGAGATATGCAATTCAAATTTAAAGTTGAATCTTGAGCTAGAATTTGCAAAAATATCTTTGTGGTGTTGTAAAAGTCAGAGGTGATACAGTGGAGCAATTCTCAGCTTTTATACACCAGATGGCACTGTGGGCGCAGAGGAAAGCTCTAAATTGGCCTTTTGTTGCTTAATCTGTTGCAAAAATTAGGTTGTTGAGAAAACAACCCTATGTTATAAGACTTGTAATGATGGCTGTAGAATATATTCTTAATCACTTTGTGATTCAGCATGTCTCTTCTTTGAGTTAAAATGCTTGGATGAGTTCATAGTGTTGTATGTGTATGTATATTCCCTATTGGAGGAAACCGCTCACCCCCTTCCAATTACATAGCACTCTCCTGCCATCTAGATATTTGCCCTGAAACAAAGATACCAGACAGTAGTGCGTTTGATGTAACCATGAGCAAGGGTAGAGTCTACTGCAGTTCTAATTCCAAGATTCGAGCTTTCTTCTTATTACCAAGAATTCTCTTTAATCACAAAATGATCTTTAAGAGAGGCTCAAAGGACTCTCTGCAAGGACGCACTGGTTGTCCCCTTTTACTGAGTCAGTGCAAAATATTCTACGGCAGTTCCTTTGTCAACATGTCTGCTCTGAGCACTTTCTGTTAGCATAGAACAATACTCTTTTGGGATTGTGCCTTGGGAAATCTCACACAAAGGCAGCTAAAGCATAAGAAAAGGTGAAAGCTGCAAGTATTTTTCAATCAGAATTAGGAATGGCTTTAAACCCTTAGCTTCTTGATCATTTACAAAGAATTCACTTCAGTTTTTAGAGTTAGGTTATCTTAGATGACAAATGGATGCACACTTTCTCTAATGGTAACGTGTACTAAATTCTATGTTCTTTCTTCTATTAGAGGTTTGACAATGGAAAAACAAACCTTTGCTTGTGTAGAACTTTTGTTCACAGCTGAAACGCCTATCAAGCTTGAGGAAGACATGGAAAATGGATGTACACTTTAATTTTTTATTAGGAAAGATTCTGGAATTTTTTTTTGCCATTTGTGGTTGGCTAGAGAGAGTGACTTAGATGGATTGGGTCAGTATGTTATTTCTTCTAGAAAGGACAGTTGCTTCTCAGAGATGGCACAGCCTATGAATGATTAAGAGCTTCTGGAGATTTTATAAATATGTCCCAACCTCTCTTTCTGCACAGATGAAAAATAAAAAATAAAGTCAACATTATTTACCATATCATACTCCCTTTGAGAGAATAGGCACTCTGGATATCTTTAATTATTTAAATTTTTGCTACTTCTTATTGAATTTTTGTGGATTTCGTACAATACATCTTAATCATATTTAGACCCCCTCCCCTATTTGCACACCCATAACCCCCACTAGATTTCATGTATTCTGTTATATGTTTTAAGACCTATTGAGTCAAGTTTGTGTCCACAAATATCCCTTGTTTGGATTTCTCTTGTTTTGGATTTTGCTTCATTACAAGAACAGTTTCAGTGACTTGTGAAAGAAAGGAAATTCTTTTTTTTTCTGTTTTTAACTAGAGATTAAATAAAGTGCCTTAGAGTTGAATTGGAGGCAAGGAAGGGGGGGACCTAAAAAAGTGGGTCCAGAAGGAGGAGCTGGCTGATGGGTAAAGTTAAAAAGAAAATAAGGCAAAAGTCAGTCCTATTTGGAAAAGAATTTTATTAGTGAGTGTTGATTGAAGATAGGACAGGGCTAAATTACAGGCTAAAATATGGGGCTGGTGGCATAAAGTTTCCAGTTTAAATTTTCATAGCATTAGAAAAATCAGAGGAAGAGCAAAAAATACTCAGAAATGAGGATGTGATGCCAAAAGATAAATGTTTACTTATTTGACACAGATTCTTTCTTTTTTTCCTTTAGAACCAATGGCTGTGAGTTCTGTGGGTTTGTAAACATGATTGAAACCTCCTCTCACAGTATTTTACCATGCTTTGTTTGAAGGTTTAAAATAGTCTGCAAAGATCTCCATGTTCATCCTGAAATCATAACAAACCTTTCAAACCAGCCACAATCAGGGCAAAAAAATATTGATGTTTTTTTTGCCTGTGTTTTGTTATAGGTAACTTTACCGCCATCTCATGCAAGCCTCCTCCTCTTCAAAAAAATAGAAAGGAAATTTCCACCTTACACTGGCTTTGGGTCTGAAGAGGATTCTCTCTGTTCCTGCATAGGCCTCAAGCCCACACCTCATCGGAAGAACTTCAGGAAATTCATGGACTACGTCAGGTGCTTGAGGGGACCATGGTTATAGTCCTATCTTTTCCAGACATATTTGAAGTTTATGACATGTCCTTGTTGATACAAGGGCTGTCACACAGCTCATCAGATTTTGAGCCCAGGAACAAGTTGCAGTTTTTCATTGAGGTTGATTAACACACTGGTATTTCCAGCTTCTTGCTGAGTGCTCATTTTACTGTGTTATTTGAAGGACCCTAAAGTCATATTATTCCCTCTGTCTGTTGTTTTGCCATATCGGTTTGTCTCTCTTTCTGTCCTTCTTGCCCTTGAAGATAGTTGCAGGAAATGCTGCAGAGGCAGAGTCAGCACATTTTAATGGTCAGAGAGTACATACTTTCGGCTTTGTAGGCCATACGATCTCTGTCACAACCATTCAGATATGCCACTGTAGCATGAAAGCTGCATGGACAGCGTGTAAACACATGTGTGACTGTGTTCCAATGGAAAGAACTTTTTATGTATATTGACATTTGAATTCCATGCAATTTTTACTATCAAAAATATAATTCTTCTGATATTTTTTCAACCATTTAAAAATGTACAAACCAGTCTTAGCTCAAAGGTATATAGACACAGGTGGCCAGCTGGCTCTGTCTCACAGACTGTAGTCTGCTAACCCCTGTTGTACAGATTTCAGTGATTTATAGGTGTTTTGCAAAATGATATTTTGGAAATTAATATTGTTTTGACTTGAGAGGTTTGGTTGAAATCAGTAACAAGCAGATTGTTAATACAGAAGAATGTAATTTCAAAAGGTAGATTTTCAGAACTATACCTAAAATACATGAGGCAAAATCTGCTCCTGAATCATGCATGTAGAATGTGGACATGGGTTATGGTTATGTTTTGTTTCTACAGAAAGAGCAGGCCTGGGAGAAAGATGTCAGGGAAAAATAGTGGGGAAATGTTGCAGATGCTCGAATAGGGTGTGAACTAAAACCTGCAGCCTTTTGTGAGGGAGATAATGGGTTGGGAGATGCAGGAGAAACACGATAAAGGGAACCTGTATTAAGACTAAGGAGAGAAGAAGAAAAACCATCCTGAATTTGTAAAATTGCATGGGGAGGGGGGTCACAGGCTGTTGTCAAAAATTCAAAGGCAGGAGACCAACAGCTGTCCTGTATCTATAAAAGTGACTGAACTATCTTGTTGGAAAGGTTGCCTTTGCCGTGACATGATGTCCACTCTCTTTCAAGAAATAATCTTTTATTTTTAACAATTTTGGAGTTTTATTGAAATTTTAAACTTAGTATTTCTTAAAGTGTGATCCCCATATTTGTTAGAATACTAGCTTTTGTGCTTCTCTCTACATGGTCCTAGAAAGAAATGCTGGGGTTGTGGCCCAGTACTCTGTTCTCATACACACTCTGGGGGATTCTGAGGCACACCAGTATTTGAGAATCACTGATTTTGACACAGTATCCCCTTTGCTCCCTTATTGATAGCAATATTATATGGATTCTAGGGTGGGACTTCAATGGACCCTTTTTCACTAAGTGCTGATTTTAAGGCCAGCCACCTGGAGGAGGTGGACAGGAAGAATGTCCCTATTGTAAAAGGAGAGGGAAATTTTCTTATAAGTAAACAAGATGAAATATTATCCAGGGTGTAGCTTCTGGAACCCAGGGGAAAACAGTTCTTTGTGGGTAGTCGCCTTAGTCTCTCTTTCTGTCTGCACTGTGTAAACTTGCCCTTCAGACCCTGACTACAGATATTATTGTTTTTATGTGTCATGCTGTTGTGGTTAAAGGATGGGCATATAGGCACAAATCTCTCTAATCTTATTTCTTTTTGTCTACTGCTCATTTTGTGCCAAGAATATACTTCCATCAAGCTCCTCCTACACAGTGACCTTGTTTCCATAGTAACCGTCAGACACATACATGGCTGAAGACTCATACATGAGTGTGAATAACCCTAGGTTTCAAAACTCTGAGAACCTAAGGAAAATGATCTCACAGAGTATTCAAAGGATAGTTTCACCATACAAATACGAAAACCAATTGAGATAGGAAACTATACAGGGCATATTGATTTTATAGATTGCTACTAAAACAAATTTACTGGGTGCTATTGTTAAGAGGTTAATATATTATTGGTCTACTGTGAGTCATTGGAGGAAGTCATTCCAAATTAAAGCATATAAAGTTTTTGATGAGCATGAAGACCTTTATTGTCTGGGTAAGCATCACTATAGTGGCCTGTTGGGCAGATTGTCTAGTCTGATTTGGGAGAGTCAGAATATCTTTTTGCCTATGCAGGGCTGAAGTAGTGACTTTGTTCTGTGTGTGCCCCAATACTCTGCTGAATGTACCTATAGTAGTAGCAGTAGTAGTGACAATAAGCAATTAGTAGTTTCCTGTGCATTAACTACTCTATAATATTTGATTTTATTTAATCCTTAAAATAACCTTGGAAGAAACTAGATCATATTCTTGCACTCATTCCTCAAACAAGGAAAATGAGACTCAGAGAAGCTCTGCAACTTGTCCAAACTCACAGCTAATTTTTAGTTGAACAAGGAATTGAATCGAGGGAAATTTCAGTTCTGGAATTCACCTTTCTTGCCATAGAATCTATGCTTATCATATGGCTGGGGATTAATCATGTGTGTACTTTCTGGGCTTCCCCAGCCTAAGAGCTCTTGAAGGCAGAGACTGCCTTTGTTGTTTCCCTAAGAGTTAGAACGGTTCTGGCTATATACTTGAGGACTCGCAAGTGTTTTGTCCAATAAGAAAAGGTGTGGATGAGTGAGTATGGTAGTAAAATAAATGCTCACTAATCCAGTTCTTAATGATGGATAGAAGTAGAGGGGACAGACAGCTTCCTAACAGGAAATTTGCTATCACATATTTCTGCTCTATATGAGCATATACCACCTAAAATGTCGCGGTTTAATGCTAATGTTTTATTTGTTTCAGATATTGTCCATCTGCTCTTTTCATCACCCATGTCTTCCCCCTTAGTATTTTCCAACTATTACTGAAAAACAGCCTTTACATGTTTTCTAATCTGAAGAGTGTATAGCTCTAGAGTTTTGTTTGTTTGTTTGTTTGTTCTGGTCTTTAGAGGGTATGTAGCTTTGGGTGAGCAATTCTTTTGCTTGGTTAACAAATACTTCCTAAAGACCTGCTGTGTGCCAGGCATTTACTTGGCTTGTGATGAATCAATGAACAAAGCAACCGTAAAAGCCTACTTGCCCTCATATAACTTTATTCTCCTTGAGGGTGACATGCAATAAGGGAAAGATACATAAGTATTTTACATTGTATATAGACTATGTTAAGTACCATGTTAAAGAACACTTTAAGTTGCTATGGAAAGGATAAAGGGAACTGGAAGGTGGGAGTTGATAAATATCCTCAGTTGTGGTTTTCAGTTGTGTTATGTTACCTGTTGAGGAGAGGAGACGTGTTCCAGACAGAAGAGACAGTCAGGGTAAAGACTCTGAGCAGTGTACATTTATGGGGATATACAGAAACCATTAAGGAAGCTGTCATGACATGGATAGAAAAGATGAGGACAGGGCAGAGTGTAGCTCACAGGGATAAGGTGGAAGAAGCACAACATGTGCTCATATAATGCTTGCAGGCTCATAAGGACTCTTGACTCTTAGAAAGATAAGGAGATTCGAGCAGACAAGTAACTTGATCTGGCTGGCATATTGGAAGAATCGCTCCAATGCGTGTTAAGTGGACTGTAGAAAGACAGCGGTAGAATTCAGACAGGCTAAGAGACTGCTTCAGTAGTCCAACAAAGCTGGCTTGTAGCTGGATGCGTGGAAGGAATGAAATTAAATAGCAGATTCTAAACATATTTTGAAAGTAGAGACTATAGGATTTTCTGACACGAGATACGAGGTGTGATAGAACTGAAGAGCTAAGGATATCTCAAAATTTGGGCCCAAGCAATTGCAAGGGTGGAGATGGCAGCCATTGAGATAGGAAGAACTATAGAAAGAGTAGGCTTGGGGACAAGAGCACAAGCTCAGTTTTAGAACAAGTTGAGATGCCTTTTTAATATCAAATGGAGATGTGTGTGTATATATATGTATGTGGGGGGTGAGGGTGTATCAGACAGAGGGGGAGGGAGGAAAGGAGAGAGGGAGAGAGGGAGGGAGAGAGAGAGGGAGGGAGAGAGAGAGGGAGGGGTTCAAGAGGCAACTTGGAGGTAGAGGTACAAATTTGGAAGTCATAATCGTGTAGATAGTCTTTCCATTCATGATGCCAAAGTGTACTAATGCTTTGAGGCTGTGTTAGGTCACCAAGGATGAATATGTGTAGAGAAGTGTATGAATAAATCTGGGCTACCGCAAAGTACAAGTCTGGAGGAAAGAGAAGCAACTACCAAAGGAGGGTAAAATGGTGAAGACAAGATAGGAAGGAGAGAAACCTTAGAGAATGTGTAATGCTACAAGCCAAGTGTCATGGAAGAGTACGTGGTCAATTGTACTAGTTGCTGATTTGCTGATTAGTAGAATTAAATAGAGACAAAAAGTTAAGGATGGATTTGACATTGCGAAGATCCTTGTTAGTCTCCATAAGAGCAGTTTAAGTAAAGCAACCCAAATAGAAACTGATTTTAGAGAAGTGGGAAGGGTCTGGGGGTGTGACCAACTGGCATACTTGAGGCTATGGGTCTCATCTCCAGCATGGATAAGAAAGAGGGAGTGGAAGGGTGTGGGAAGATTCCAGGGCAGTGATTGTAGTTAACACTATGCTGTATGTAGAAAAAGTTAAGACATGGCTCCTAGAGCTAGGAATTTATAAGTTTTTTAGCACAATGAGGATAAACATCTTTTGAGATAACCAGTCAAGAGTAGAAGTCTGTATAATGCTAATTGGGTGTGACATTATGGTTGGTGCAGGAGTTATGAGGAGTTGATCACCTGGGAGGGCGGAGACTGTGATGAAAAGAGTCTTCAAAGACATTTGATAGTTAGGTTATATGAATGAAATATCTGAAGACACTTAGAGTATTTCTTTCAGTGTGCTGTGGGGACCATCTCATCAGATTCCCCTGGCAGCTTATTAATAATGCACATTTCCACAGAGCCAAGCTCACTCCTGAGTCCATATATCTGGCAGTGAAATTATGAATTCTGCATATGTAACACGTTTCCTGTGACTTTTATATACACTAAACTTTGTGAATTGCTAGGTTTTATTTTCAATTGATGAGATCCTCAAAATACTAGAATTAAGAGGAAAAAAATGACACATTGAAAAATTCATAGTAAACATATGTACTTATAAAGTTATGTAAGTTCTAAAATGCTAAATTTGAAATAGTATTCCTTTGCCCTTAGATTAGACCTCATTCGACGGTTTGTTGATATTTTAGATGTCTGTAAAGTTAAAAGGGAGGTGTTGAATATTTATTACTTAAATAAATATAGGGGCTGGTTAAAAGCACTAGCTCCTCTTGCTAAAGGCCCAGGTATGATTGCCATCACTCACATAGTGGCTCACAACCATCTGTCCCAGTTTCAGAGGATTTGATGTCCTCCTCTGGCCTCTTTGGCACTAGGTATGCACATGGTACACATACCTACACTCGGGCCAAACACTCATACATGTAAAAATAAACCTTTTTTTTGTTTGTTTGTTTTTTTGAGACAGGGTCGTCCTGTAGCTCCAGCTGCCTGGAACTCACTCTGTAGACTAGGCTGGCCTCTAACTCACAGAGGATCCGCCTGCCTCTGCCTCTTGAGTGCTGGCATTAAAGGCGTGCGCCACCATGCCTGGCAAAGAAATGTGCCCAATGTGAGGCATGAACTTTTTTTTTTTTTTTTAAGTTCAGTTATATACCAAAAAAGACCCTGACCCTAGCACTATGTAAGTTCCATCTGAGGTCTGGGAACTACGCACTTAACAAAAAGCAGAACTGTGTGTGTACTTGCCCAGGCTGCTCCAGGATGAACCGTACAAACTGCTGTGCTCCATCTCACATGAGATCTCATGAGATCTCAAGCTGGGAATCTTGCCCCTGTGCTTTCTCAACACAGCTTCCTGGATAGTCAAATAATGCAGAAGAGAAAAGCACTTTCTGTCTCTGCAAATCAGTAGTACTTTGTTGTGCTTTTTATCAATATGAATGGATTTCAGGATATGAGAATCTACAAGTGCTGACCACTCTGCTTACAGTTGTGACATATATAAGTGATGAAGGACATGTAGATTTTAGTGGTCACTTCCTAGGGTGAAGGATTTAAATTACCTCCTCAAGGACTTACTATTTGTTAGGAAGGTTGGATTTCACTAGCTGATACCTGCAGCTGTGCTTCTACTGAGAGACCATAAAAGTTGCTTTCTTCAAGGCCCATGCTATCAACTCTGGACATGAGTTATTTATTTTTACGATAGGGTCTCACTATGTAGCCCAAGCTGGCCTCAAACTCATGCACTAAGCTTCCTCAGTGCTGGGGCTACAGGTGTATGTTCATGCACACCTTGGAAAATTTAAATTCCATTTGATTTCCTCTTCAACCTGCTATTATGCATAGTGTTCTAAGTACAGCTTCTAATCATTATGAGTATAACATTAATGCAATACCTTATAACATAAAAAGTGTTATATTAGATAATGGTTAATAAAATATAGTATTTCCTTCTTGGAAAATAGACTTGTAATGGCTACTTACAAATAATTTAAACAATTAGCACAGTCGAGGCATGTTTATAATATTTGTGGAATAATTAACATTTCCCTTGAAAGGAACTGAAAATGATCCAAGAGAGGTGGAGTAACAAGGAGGGGAAGATGTGAGCTGCATGGCAGAAAAGCCATGCGACATGAGACAGGTGTCCCAGGCACTGGGTAGAGTGTGCCTTCTGGATTGGCTCGGGCATAGGATTACACTTGTGCGTCAACCTGACATAATTACTGCAACTGTGCTCTATCCTCTTGATTAGAGAACAGTTGACTAATTCCTCTGCTTTGAGCATCATGTTTATAAAGCATTTTGTGTTAATGTGTGTGTATATTTGTTCATGTTCATGTGAGTACATGTGCTTGTAGGTGCATATGAAGGTGAGAGATTAACTGTGACAGTTCCTCGGGAACCATCTAGCTTGTCTCTCAAGACAGGATCTCTTATTGGCCCGTGGTTCACTAATTATTAGGCTAGGCTGGCTGGCCACAGAACCCCAGGGATCTCCCTCCCCTCTTCTGGAATTACTAGCATGTGCCACCAGGCCTACCTTTCTTACATGGGTTCTGGGAACTGAACTCAGGTCCTTCTGCTTTCTCAGCAAACACTTTCCCAAGTGACCTATCTCCCCAATGTTTCTAAAATTTCTGTATGGTTCAATGTACTTCCCAGGACATATCAAGAGTAGGAGAAAGTTTAATATATTGAGAAAATCCTTTAGTATTTAGATTAGGACCTTAATAAGATGTTTGAACCATTAGAAAAGTATAAACTCCCATGTCAAAGCCATGGCATAGCTACTGCAGGTCTTTTTATTGTGATACATGTACAGAAGATTACTTGTCTAGTCCTCTAACTCTCATTTCTCTTCTATCTAGCCATAGCAATGTAAGCAATATACTCCGGTATTTTGGAAAACTTATCACAGATAAATGTGCTGATGTGGACAGGTTGTTTGTTATTGTATTTTATCTCAGCGATAACACAATTTCGGTGTTTGAACCTATGGAGAGGAATTCAGGTAAGAGGCATAGCATAGCCAGAATGGAATGCAGCTGGGTTTGGCTCCAAAGCTTGTGTCTCCACCATTTCTCACGTCTGGTCTCATCTGGTTCCGGTTGTACTCATAGATCTGTAGATTTCAGTTCCAAATCAGAAGACACTGGGTTCTCCTGTTTAGCTCACCTTTGGAGAACAGACAAAGTGAGAATATTCTGGAAAGTAAGCAGGATGAGGCATTCCTAAAAGAAGCAAAGATATTTGACTACATGGGAGGGGGAAAAGGTCAAAGGGACCCCCATAGTTATCTTGTCACACTTATCTAATCACCTTTGTAGAAGTGGGGCATCTTGCCCTGAGTCTGAATGCCATGTTAAGTGTGAGACACATCTGCAGAAATAAGTGAGGGATTTCTAGCTGGTACTATTCCAGTGTACCCTAAAGATGAGGAACCTGCTAATGGCCTACATCCTCAGTTTAATGCAGGGCATATACAAAGGTCCTTGCTAAGTGTTCCTTGAATTAGGAAGGGAGGAAAGAAAGGATGGAAAAGGCTGGAATACCATATCACCTATCATCTATTTTTCTCTCCCCTCCCTCCCTCCCTCCCTTCCTCCCTCCCTCTCTTTTTCTCTCTCTTTCTCTCTCTCTTTCTTTCTTTCTTTCTTTCTTTCTTTCTTTCTTTCTTTCTTTCTTTCTTTCTTTCTTTCTTTCTTTCTTTCGACACAGTCTTATTCTTCCAGATGGGCTGCTCATTTATTATGAAGTAGGATGACCTTGAATTTTGGCTCCTTCTTCCTCCACCTCCTCAGTTCTGAGATTGCAAGCACCTGCACCTACTGGGAACCCAGGGCTTCATGCATGCTAGGCTACATCCCTTTCCTTTGATCAGAGTAATCCTTAGCCTTTTCCATTACATTCATTAAAATGAACTCATGAGCATATACATATATACTAGGTGGAATATATATATATTCCAATATATATAGAAGAATATATATCTATATTCTTTCCTTGTGTGTCTTCTTTCCTATTTCTGATTACCTTTCATATATCTTTTAAATACCCAGTTCCTCCCTGCGGTTCCCAGGAGTCCTCTGGGCTGGGTCCTGCCCTCATATCCCTTTGTTTCCTGGGCTGCACAGCCTCCAGTGTCCTGGTACCAAATAGACAGGACCAGAAAAGAAACTCTCCATGGTATATCATAGTAAAAACACTAAACGTTCAGAACAAAGAGACAATACTGAAAGCTGCAAAAGAAAAACAATTCACATATAAAGGAAAACCCATCAGGATT